CTCTCTCTCTCTCTCTCTCTCTCTCTCTCAGAATGTCTTAGATCCACATGATTGGACAGCAGAATAGCTCCCCGTGTTCTCCAAGGAAAAGAATGGTGCGATTTCCCTTCTGCCCCAGCATTTACCTGGTCATAGTGTGGAAGGTGGGCCCAGGGACTGTCAGGACCCTGCATCGGGCCGGCGATGCCGAGGCGGGACGGGGTGACAGGGTGCCGCTCGGCGGTGCAGAGCGTCTGCAGTGTGCAGGGCGGCTGGACTGGAAGAGCGCAGAGGCAGCGTGGGAACCATGCAGGGCCAGGCGGAGGGAGGGCTGGGAGCCCTTTCGAAAGCAGGGTCAGCAGGACCCCTGGCCACTGTTTGGCTGTGGAGGGAAGGGTGGCGTCTTGGGTGACATGTGGGTCATGGCTTAGGGCAGGTTCTGGAAGGCTGTCACAGACGCAGGGAGCACCAAAGTGGGGTGAGTGAGCGGGGAAGGGCAGTTCGTTGTGCTCTGGTTGGAAGCACCTGCAGCACCTCCGGGCCAAGGTAACCTGTGAATCCATCCTAGCCTGGATCTCGGGAGGTTAACACCCTGTGTCTCCACGCTGCACCTCTGCTCCCAGCACGTCCCCAACACGCTGCACTGGGAGATCGTAGCAGGGCCGGCTGGTGTGGGATGTGGGCCTGTGTCTGACGCTGCAGGAGACCCACCCAGGCGGGAAGACAAACTGAGAACTGCCCTGGTGTGTTTCAGAGGCCCCAGGCTGCCTCGGTGGGTGGCTGGTAGCTCATGACAAGGCGCAGTGTCATTGCCTTCCTGGTCCAGAGCAGAAGTGGCAGCTCGTTTCCCTGATGCCCGTGGGTGGTGAGGAGAAGGGCAGCTCCTGTGCTGCCTGCCCCCTGTCGGGTCCGCAGTCCAGTGGGTGCCGGCCCACCTTGAACGCACCTCTTGTACAATCCTTCTGGGTCCCTCCAGTTGGAAACGCTGTCTTCTGAGCTCCCAGTCCTGTCTCCCTCCCTCACAGTCGCTGCTTCTCGAGAGGAGGGTCTCTGTGTTCATCACTCGTGATCATACTCTGTGTCTTACAGAAGCTCCACAGCTGGGGTTTCTCAGCCCAGAACCCAAGGCACATTTTTGAAACATCATAGCACAGTATTTAATTAGGACAGCTGCTAATATCTCAGGCGTGTGGTCCCTGTAACTGCCTTCATCACACGTCTTGGGTTGTCTGCTCGTCTGGCTCTGACGACAGATGGTGGGAACGAGATAGGGTCTTACCATCCTTGTACCCTAACCCCCAGGGCTTGTGTGCCATGTGCTTTGTACATGGCTTTAGTCTTCACGGCAAGCTTGCAAGGTAGGATGTTCCCAATTTAAAAGTGAGAAACTGGGGATTGGAGAGGGTAATGATGTCCCTAAGCCACATGACTACTTAGTGGTAGAGCTAGCACTTGAACTTGGGTCCGTCTCCTAAGCCAGTGTTTTTCCTACTATATCCTCTCCCTCCTCTCTGATACGGGGGCAAGTTGTTGAATTGTTGTGTTCATGTGTGTCTCCCATAGTGCCTCACTGCAGCCCTGCGTGGTCGCTTCATTGAGCACTTAGGACATTCCAAATACTGTGCCTGAGCATTTTTATGCGTTATCCCACTTGACCATGAAACCTGGGTATTATTCGCTCCACTATATAAATAAAGAAATAGGCTCAGAAAGACAAAGGCACACAGCTAATGACAAGCCAGTGGAATTGGAAGACTTGACTACAAGTATTGGTCAAACGGTAGATATTAAGGGATTTATTTTAAGGTAGCAAGAGGCCCTAAAACCAAAGCAGCCCTCAGGCATGTCCTTTCTTCCCCTTAGGTTCTCCACCACGAGCTGCTGGCCATCCGCGAGGCTTGCATTAAGCTGGAGAAAGACTACCAGCCAGGAATCACGTTCATCGTGGTCCAGAAGAGGCATCACACGCGGCTCTTCTGCACGGACAAGAACGAGCGGGTGCGTCTCCTCGGCCGGGGCCGTGGCGCCGGATGCCTGTGGCGACTGCCGTGGTCCTGGGTTCTGGGAGGCCCTGTCCTTGGCGGGGCTTCGTGGGCACCCAGCCTTAGGCGCCGCAGAAGGGCTCTCCTCGGTTTGGTGGGAAGTGTGGACCTGTGAATCCCACAGTTCTGGCGACAGGACCAGGCAGGATGTGTCATCTATCTGATAAAGAATTTGCCAGAGAAGCGGCTCTGAATAAGCCAGTTTGCAGCCCCGGCAGCCGGAAAGAGTGTGGTGGGATGGAGTGGACTGGGGAGACCTCGGGGAGCTGGGGGGCTGGAAGGTGGTTCTGGGAGCTCGACCAGGGGCCTGGGGAGGAGGTAAAAGGTGGCGGGTGTCCAGGCGCCTCCATACATCTGTGTTCCAGAGTAAGGATGATGGTGTAGGGAGAAGCGAGGTTTGCAGACATTAACTGCTAGGAAGTTCTCCACAGTTGATGAAAGGTGGGAGTCCTCAGGTTAAAGTGTTTTCTACGTTCCCAACAGGATTCATGTAAATAAACCCACACCTTCCTAAAGCCTCCAGGTAGCTCCCTGAGGAGAGACTCCCCCTCTCTCCCCCCAGAAGGAGGGACATGAGACAGACAATGAGCAGCCCTCACGTTGGCCACAGCAGGGCCAGAAGCCCGTGGGTGGTTAATATCCACACAGTGCCCAAGGCAGGCACGGCACAGCAGCCCAATGCCACCGCAGTGGTGACTCAGCACAGGAAACGCTCGCTGTCTACATGGAAGACAAGATAGAGGCTGAGAGTTATAGTGAGGAAAAGGGGCACTGTCACAATCACTGGGACGACCCACCAAGAAGGTGTTACAAATCAGAGCTTCTGTGTACCTAACACCATAATCTAAAATTATGTGGGAAGAAAAGTAAAGCAGAAACTGACGGTGTTCCGAGGAGAAATTGGCAGACCCATTATCCAAGAGGAATATTTTAGCACACCACCATCACACACTAAAATAGGCACATTGGTAAAAACTGAATATTGGAAGAGTGACACAAACAAGCCAGATCTAATAGTTAAAAGTCCTGCCTGTGACAGCTGAGAGCACATGGAAAGCTTATGAAAGTTGGCCTCATGCCAGGTGACCAAGGAGGTCTCAGCATTGTACAAACCACATTTTTTTATAGTTGTACAATGAAATTTTTTTTTTTAAGATTTTATTGGGGAATTTGGGGAGGGGAACAGACAAGTTGCTGTCCTTTTGTTCTTCAGTCTAGTTGTGGAGGACGTCGCTTCACTGGCCCATGTTGGTATTATCATTGCGCTCTTCCTGGATGAGGTAGTCGCTCACCGGCCATTGAACTGCTGCTCACGGCAGCTCATGCCGACTGCCAGCTGCCAGCCCCACTGCGACCTACGCTGTCGCCGGCAACTCATAGCAGCCCAGCCCCAGGTGGAGCTGTTGTTCACCATCTTAGCTGTAGAGGGCGCAGCGTCACTGGCCCTCATGTGGGATCCAAACCAGGGCCCTGCGGCTCAGAGCTGGCGTCCCAAGCCAACTCCTAACCAACGCGCCACTCGGCCGGCCCTACAATTAAATTTTAAACCAACGGTAGAAAAGTCTAAGAAAGCTTGACATTTTAAATTTACTTGTAAGTAGCACATGCATTAAACATGTATAGAGAATAAAAATTACAAAATAATCAGAACTGAACAAAAACAAGGCAATTTCATATCAAACCCTAGGCAGTGAAGCTAACATAATACTTGAAGCTACGAATATAGGCTCAGATACATTTGCTGTAAAACAAGAAAAGAACTATCAAATAAGCCTGGTGCGGGAAGATGGAGGAAGGATGGAAATGAGAGACATTAGTCCCGGGTCCAGAGAAAGCTGAGGGCCGTGTGCCTGGCTGCAGCCCAGCCCCTGGGTGTACGGGCTGCCAGCCCCATCCCTCCCTGGACCCCCTTCCTGAGGATGCTGGGAGGACTAACTAAGCCACACAGAAAAAGCAAAATACAAGGTATATTAAAGTGTGGCCAGAAGTAAAAAAAATACATCTGAAGGTGCCACGGGGCTCCATGGGGACCCTCTTTTTTGTGTGTCTATTTGAAATACTGCACAACTAAAAACTAATCAGTGACTTAGTGACTAGCTAGGGTACAGTTCTAGAGTTGGGGGCTGCTGCTGAGGCAGCAGTAGGGCCCTTCAGTGACTTCGGTCCTATAGTGTATACTTAACCCTCCGTCGGGTGCAACTGATCTCACAGATTCATTGCACACCAATTTTCAAATATCTAACAGTTAACTTAAGTGTCGTGACTCATCGCTTCTGTGTCTTCCCCCTCCACCGTAACCTACCGCCAATCGTGTTTGTGACTTAGTAAAGACGTATTTCATGGCGGCATCTTTGTGTGCGATGAAGCTGTGAGATCAGTTGCGCCCGACGGAGGGTTAAGCTGAGCAGTGCGGTGTGATATGGAGGCACTCCCGTCTCCAAGTCTCTGGTGGTGCAGCCTGTCCTCGTGGGCGGCGGTGAATCAGCGCCCAGCTAAGTGCCGAAGACCCCGCTGGCTTTCAGGGTTTCCTAGCTCTCGTGCCTTAAATATCGTGTGCGTTTGTGCACGGATGGTGGCCCGTCATGTGCCCATCATCCACGGTCTTAGATTTGTGTGTTGGGGACAGTTTCCATCTGGACCTGCACAGTACTGAAGAACCCGCAAGCGTTACACGCAGGTTCTTGGGCGAAGGCAAGGCCCTGCATTTCCCTCGTGGGCCTGTGTGAGACGTGATGAAAAAGAACGCCCACCCAGATAGAGCAGGAACTCATTTAATTTCGGTTGATAGTATTTATTAAGTTTCACTATAATACTGGAGCACTGAGCAAAGGCTTCAAAGCGGGGCAGCCTGTGGTGAGAAAGCCCAGCCTTGGCGGGCGGCGGGGCGAGTGTGGCCTGCTGGCTGTGCTTGGTTGTCCCCTAATGTGTCTAATGGGCTCCTGTGCTGCTCCAGGTTGGGAAAAGCGGAAACATTCCAGCAGGCACAACCGTTGACACGAAGATCACCCACCCGACCGAGTTTGACTTCTACCTGTGCAGTCACGCTGGCATCCAGGTAAGGACAGAGGGTCCCCTTTAGACAGAATCTCGGTGTCTGTGTAACCTGGTCCGCACATTCAGCAAACACATGCACAGCGTGGACCTCATGCCAGGCGCTCCGGTGGACACCAGGGACGTGGTGGTGAGCAGCTAGAGTTTCTGTTCCCAGCCCGTCGTGAGGGGAGTCGGTTGGTTAACCAGGGAACTGAGACTCGGGACTGGAATGCTGGGCTGGGGGGCCCCAGGCTAGATGCCGTGAGGTCCAGGCAGAAGGAGCAGCAAGCGAGATGAGGTCAAGGAGGTGACAAGACCGCTGGGCCTGCTGAGGGAATGGCGGTGGCCAGCGGACAGGCCGACTCAGCATCAGACCCCTGGGCGGGGGCGGCCCTGTGTTCCCCTCCACCCACGTTCATTGGGCATGTGGGCAGGTCGCCGTGAGGCTCTCCTGGCCTTTGTCGGTGAAGAGACCCACACCTGGCTGAGGGTGACTCTAAGGGAGCGTTGTCACCACGGAAGTGCCACATCCAGCCACGTCCACTGTCAGCTGAGTCACCAGGATCTGGGAAGCCGTGCCCTTTGGGATAGGAGGCACTTAGTTCTAGGTGCCCGTGCCTGCCTCAGAACGCCTCGCCACAGGGGGCTTTGGGTTTTCAGAGCATAAGTCAGGGCTGAACTGTCCCTCCTCAAAGGATTGGGGAGTGCGCCATGAGCTGTACTTTTAATATTCCACGGGAAAGAGTAACCCATCATGTCCTTGACATCGCAGTGGACCCAGAGCAGGGCCGGGCACGCTGGTGTGTGGGCTGAGAATGGCTTTTACATTTTTAAAGGGTTGTTAAAAAGAAAGAAAAAGAACGTGCCGTAGAGAGCACACAGGCTTGTGTGTCGTTTCTTAGTGCACGTCACCTGTGCTCACGTCGTATGCCGGGCTGGCCCACCTTCTCTGTCCCGGACCACACTGGGGACGTTTGGGTTTCGTGCTCTCTGAGGCGGCCTCTCCCTGCCTTTCCTCCTGGTGGGCAGGGCCCTCACCTTCCAGGGCCTCGTTGTCTTGTTTAATGGCTAAACCTTCTTCGCCCTCTGTTTCCTTCCCAGACGCTTTCCGATGAGGGGGGGTCTCCCCTGCTAAGAGGGGCTGCTCTGCCACCAGCGCTGTGTCCTCAGCAGACCCTCTTATACAAAACACCCTACTATCCACGGGCCCCTGTGACAGCCAACCATTAGATGCCCAAAGTGGGGCACCAGAACATGTACTCTGGTTAAGGATGTCTCCCACCAGTTCCGAGAGCCTTACTGCAGGCACTAGCCAGGCAGCAGGGCCCTGCAGGCTGGGCGGGGCAGGGAGAGGCCACAGGGAGACCCTCCTGGGAGCGTGCGCCGGGTCGAGCGGCGCAGCAGTGGGCACAGTGCCAGGGCCATCTGTGCTCGATGTGGAGGAGGGTGGCAAGGCCACCAACTCCCACTTCCTTCCGTTTCAGAAGATGTCTAACCAGAGAAACAACATAAAATGGCACCCATGTTTAAACTCCCATTGAAAAAGGGTTAATATGTAACGCTTACTAAGAGATTTCTTTCTTGCCTATAAATAAACCATTGTAGAAAACCTGACATATACAAACACTCCTGTCCTCTGCATAACCATTTTATAGTGTTTCCTATTTTTTCTCTGATTTTTCTATATGTAAATAAAGGTGTGTAAAGTCTGTATTTTACAAACGGGGGGATAAGATACACGGCGTCCCTCGTGACGCGCTGGGCTCGGCACGGCCTGTCTCAGCAGCCCCGTCTCACGCGCCGCCCTGGCCCTCCCTGTGATCCGCCGATCTGCTTTCAGGGGACAAGCAGGCCTTCCCACTATCACGTGCTATGGGACGACAATCGTTTCTCCTCCGATGAGCTGCAGATTCTCACCTACCAGCTGTGTCACACCTACGTGCGCTGCACGCGCTCCGTGTCCATCCCGGCACCGGCATACTATGCTCACCTGGTGGCGTTCCGGGCCAGGTACCACCTGGTGGACAAAGAACATGACAGGTGAGTGGCAGGCCTTTTCTGGCTGGAGGTCACTGCAGGGGTCATTTCCGAAGCAGGCCTTGGCAGCCGCTTCTCCATAGTGGGAGGCAGCGGAGTCACAGTGGCTGGAGCCGAGTGACACAGATGGCCAAATGCCAGCACCGTCGCCGTCACTTGGTCTCTGTGTGGCCGCCTCCCCGGGTATCTGACGCAGTCATCAGGGTGCTGCCTCGTGCTGCATTAAAGGCTGCACTCTCTCTGTCCCCACAGTGCTGAAGGAAGCCATACCTCCGGGCAGAGTAATGGACGAGACCATCAGGCATTGGCCAAGGCAGTCCAGGTTCACCAGGACACACTGCGTACCATGTACTTCGCGTGACAGGTGGTCGTGTTTACGATTGTGTGCCGAGTTGGATTCACATGAGACCAGCTACACTCAGACCAACAGACGCCCAGCCCTTCCATGACAGCCAGCATCGAACATGAGACGTCATCGATTTTAGCAGTCTCTGTTTTCCAGAATGCCTTCCGTCCCAGATTTCAAACTTGGATTTTGAACTGCAGACCTGTATGAGACCCCATTTTCGTAGGAAATAATGGTTTGCCAAAATCGTATAAGCTGCTGATTAAAATAGAGTCCCTTGTTTCCTAAACATCTAAAAGCAGTCTATGAACTCAGGGCTTTAAAACATTTTTAATTTATTTGATCATTCAATTTGTTTGTAACACATGATTCTCTATGAAATTGATGGGCTCAAACTAGCTGTGAACATTCTTTGAGAGTGAAAGCAACGAAAAAACACAATTGTGGTTTTAAAGCCTTGAACATTCAAATGTCACTAAAGTTCATTTGAAAGTGATGCTGGTGTGCTCCTGACTTGGCTCACACAGGCTCTTCAGGACCCAAGGGCAGGTGGCCGTGCCAGGGCGCCCACGGGTGTCTCGATCTGCCACCGCCCGCCTTTCACTCAGCTCAAAATAAGGGGCGGTGGCAGAGGGTGGTCCACGTGCGTTTACAACATTTCTAGGTCCAGAGAGATTGGCAGACAAGTGCCATTTTAATAAAAATTTATTAAAAAAAAAAAAAAGAAAAAGGACAATATGCTAACAGTCTAATAAGATTTGTCCTATAGGACTGTGACATTTATTTTCCAAAGTTTCTAAAGAATACGGGTCTGTGGTGATAAATACAGTACAATCCTTTTTCACTGTTATGTCTTTAATGTAAGAAAAAATATATATTATCTGGTTTGCAGTATTAATGTGATAGATAGATGCTGTTTTTTCATTTTATTGACTACGGGGTGCTTCTTGTGATCTGTTTAGCATATCAAGAGTGTTTCAGAGCCTGGAGACTGGACCACTTGTTGTGGTCCTCAGTGCTTAAGTACAGGAGTATGCAATTGACTTGATGTGACAGCCACCCGCCTCCCCACGGTGTAGATTGTGTCACCTGTGCCATCGGGAGCACCGGGTTTGCTCACAGCAGTCACTCACCACCCTCCCTGCCTCATGCCCGTGTGTTGCTCAGCCGATTAAGCACAAATGGAATGTATGTATCCTTCCACTCCGGAGAAGCAAGTCCGTGTGTCAGAGCCCACTCCCCTCTGTGTCTGGTTTTGTTCCACGAGCTTCATAGGATCTATGCACTGAAACACATAGAAAGCTGTTGGTGGCTCTGTGTTGGGTACGAGGCCAGCAGTCCGTGGCGGAGCCCTGCCCTCAGGACGATGGCTGACGGAAGCCAGCAGAAGAGGCGGACCCTCCTGCTAGGATGTGCGTTCTGAGCCTCGGACATGGCTTTGCCAATCTAGAAACGATTGCCCTCAGAGCGGTACCATGGACAGCTCAAGAAGGGTAACCACAGACAGCTCTGTTTGGGCTAACTGGGCTTTTTGTCCTTGTCGGCAGTTTTATTAACTTGATAGTCCAACGTTCATGTAGACTTTCAAGGAAGGCCATGAGCCTTCCCCAGTGCTGCTGTGTGCTCTGCAGGTTTCCTGACCCTGCTGACGGCCCTCCCCACCTGGCCGGTGGCGCAGTTGTAGATGAGGGACCCACAGGGGTACCTCCTGCTGGAGTGAGTACCCACCTCAGTTGTCTGTCCTGTCTGCCAGCTCTGAGAGGCGGGAGGTGGCAGGGAACCACCGGTGGTGTTCTAGTGGACACTTGGCCTAGATTTTGGTGGTGATGACAAAGAGATGACTATTTGAAGATATCTACCCAGAGTGGTGCGTGCGTGTGTAAGGGTGCGTGACCGTGTGTGCATGTGGGTGTCTTATTAATGGCATTAGTCTCTTCTTGCTGTATCTTTTTTTTTTTTTTTTGGTCTTTTTGAATGACAGAAGCCTCTGCTCCAAAAAATGTTGCAGTTCCCTGTCGTTTTATTGGCAAGTGGCACTTTCTCCTGTTTTCAGAAGGGTAATAATACATTCTTGGCTTAAATGATCACAAGCATTCAAGCTGAGGAGGGGGTCTTCACTGATAACACTTTTAAATTCTGAAATTAGGTTGGTTTTTGGGCCATGTTTAGAATTACCTAGAACCATGTTTCTCAAAGGTGTGTGTTTCTACCACCGGGATCTCGGTGGGGGGCAGTGGTGGTGCTTGAACTCCTGGGCTGGCTGCGGTCCTGCTGCAGCCAGTTCTCCAGGGCTGCCCGAAGTCTGAGAGCCCTTGATCTAGAGCTTTCTGAAGAGAGAGGGCCCTCCTTCCAGCACGGAGGGCCCAGTGGCAATGCAGGGAGACGTTTTCTAAGCTAAAACCTAGGAAAGACTGCAGGCTGGCAGAAAATTGGAACTGAATTTTTTTTTTTTTCAAATTATTTTGAAGGCAAAGTTTTCTTTTCCATGGGCCAAAGTACTTTGGGAAGGATGCTTTATATAGCCCTATGCTTGTTGTATGAAACTTTTCATGCTAAAAACATTAACAGACCAAATGTGTCCAGCTGGATTGGCTGCACCCCTTAGTACATGTCTGATGATTCGGAATTCAAGTGGTTTGGCTGTCAGTACAGTCTCTCAGGTAAACGTTTCCCCAAATTTCTACCAGCCCGCCACCCCCCCCCCAATTATTAGGATAAATTATGAGTTCTGAGACAGCGTGCAACCTCACAGCACAGTAGAAACAGACCAAGCCCTGTTCATTGGGAAGCCGCAGGGGCCCTTTGCCGTCTTCTGGCTGTTCTCGCACCTACACAGGGCCCCCTCACGCCCACGGCCGAGAAGGGGCCCCCTTGCACTTGACTGGCTCTGCCCCATCCCACTGTTGAGTAAGGTGTGCCTTGCTTTAAGCAAACTGCATGTGAAGGTGATGATGTTGACGTCATGCTTCATGTCCAAGAAAAACAGGCTGATCTTGCCCCTTTAGAAGAGGCCTTGCAGTGAGCGTCTCGTACTGGTGTTCTCCTAGTGTATTTTAAACTGCTTGCCTTGGGAAAGATGCATAGGTTCCCGTCCCTTCACGGTGTCGTGCGCTGCACAAGTGCTCGCCCTAAGAAACCCTGAGGAGCCGTCAAGGTCACCACGGTTCACCCTTTGGTGACGTTAAGACTAACGCCCCCCGGCCCCACCCCCGCTCCCTCTGTATTAGTCTATGCTCAGATTTCCCTGGTTCGGGTGAAGTTTGTAGAACTGGCCAGACCTGTACTTTTAGAAAGGGGTCGTTTTATTGGGGTTTTGGTTTGGGGTTTCTGCTTTGGGAAATCTTCACACGTACGCTTGACTCACTACGTATTAGGAGCTGCCTTTTTCCCCTCAAGATTCTTAGTCTTTTTGGTAGTGTTCCCACACTCGCTCGAATGAATGTGTGCACCCCGGAACCACACGCTGGGCTTGGCACTGGCTGGCCCTGAGGGTTGCTGTTGGGAACAGAGTAACTTCCAAGCTATTTGAGGTGGCTGTAGTCACTGCTACCCCTACCGTTCAGTCCAGGTGATCGGGTGCCGGTCACAAGGGACAACTTAGGCCCAGTTCCTCCAGGCAGGGTTGGCAGGAGGGTTATTGATGTTGTGTGTTATTTTTATTATTGTTAAATGCAGGTGTTGCTATTTATTTTTTTCCTTTCCAATGCGGATATCGCAGTGCAGGTGGTACCTGGTACAGACGATAGAAATTACTTTCCCCAAACTTTTATACATCACCTAATGTTTACCTTCAAGTTTGCCGGATGGTTTATTTTTTGAAAGCCACTGGTTTATTTTTTGAAAGGCACAAATGTAATTTTTCTGGATGAATTGTTTTTCTTAATATATGCAGCGATGTGACTTTACATTGATCTGCGGGGTGGTTTAGATTTTATTTTTGCAAGGCAGTTTTTCAGTCAAATTATATATTTGATACAATATGTTAAGGGTGGACCAGCCAAGCGTTGTGCATTTGGGACACCAGAGTGTGTGTCCCTAGGAGGCCCGTGGGGCCGGGCCGGCTTCTCTTGGTCGCCCAATGTCATGGAAACACTTGGCTTGTCCCTGGAGCCGGCAGGATCTGGGGTAGTCCAACGGGACTTTGAGCTGTCGGACAGTTAAAAGGATTTTTATGGGCATTTTCCTACACCTAAGGCGGTTCCTTTCGGAGGACCTTTAGAAGTTGACATATCCAGACAGTGGACAATCCCAGTGGCCCGGACAAGCCATAGACATTTGCCTGTGACCTCTGTTTGACTCATCTCTCAACGCTCACGAGAAAAGGAATGTACAATAGTAGAAACTTCCTCAGTGTTCGTACGCCTCACATTCACAGATGCAACTATCTTATTTATATTTTCATCCCTCCCCAAAGTCACCGAGAGAACGCTGTCTTCTGGCTGCCGTGCCGGCAGGTGTGGCTGCTGTGATGTTTCACGGTGTAGACACAGCGCACGTGTGACTTTGTAGTGGGGCTGTCCGTGTTACACACACACATGCTGACTCTCTCTTTGTAAGGAAAATTTTCAACTCAACAATAATTGCACTGATTTTTGACAACATCCTTATTATGTCCAACTTGGCACCTGCTGTACTTGTCTGAAATGATTGTAAATAGATTTAGGCTAGCGGAAGTGACATGGCTACAACACATTGCTTTGTTTTAGCGACACTGCCATGTTTCTCAGTATTATGTGTTAGAGCTGTGTGGATTGAATTCTGTTTTTTAGCCGCGTGTGTCTGCTGGCTGTTCATGAAGGACAAATTAGCCTCTTTTTCTTATGTTGTTTTTTTTTTTTCTGAAAGGAAGTGGGCTCTCTCCTTGAGGCCTGAAGATTGAATTGTAAAAGGATTAATTGCAAATCCTTGGAACACTTTTGTGGCCTGTTTAATTCCTTGTTGTTTGCCATAAATCTTGAAAGCATTTCCCTCCAGTTCCGTCCAGCATTTGACAGTCTGGACAGGAAGCGTCTGTGTGGCCACCGCTGTTCAGAGGGTGAGGAGCTCCCTGGCTTCTCTTGGGCCAGTTGTCATTTAAAAGCCATGCTGTCACTGTCATGTCAGACCCGTCATCTGTGGCTGAACCCATACATGCTAGAGAGACCTGTTCCTTTATGCCTTGTGATTTCTGCTTAAGGTTCATAGTATTTGCTGCAGCCCACCATGTGGAATTCTGTGTGTGGTCAGGCTACCCAGTATCCGACACACAAAGGAGCTCTTACACCCAAGCCAGCCACCTGAGTGTGTGTGACTGTCACGTCGATGCGGTCATGGTGCCCTCGCGTAATGCTTTTCTGGATGTTTGCCATGTTACTGTCTAAAAGTGAATGTATTGGCTTAGCCAAATCACTACAGAAGGTGGTTTCTAAATAAATACTTTTTAGTTTAAAAAAAAAAAGCAAATGCAGATAAGGCTACCTCTGAATTCTCCGTAGATTCCTGTTTGCTCTTAAGCGTAGCTGTCCACACTGAAAATAGCCAAAATGTCGCCCGAATAAACTGAGTTGTGACCATCTATCTCTCTGTTCGGTTCTGGCTTGAAAATGTGTGTGCCATACTGTGACCCGTGGGCCCCCTCCTCCCCATCTGAGGTGTCAGCCGTAGACCGGTGCCTCCTCAGGGCTGCCCGGCCCCGAGGTTCCAGGATTCCATGCGGCCAGCAGGCATGACACGGGACGCTTCTCGGCTGTCCTCGCTGTCCTTGCTCCGGCCGGCAGAAGTCCAGGAGTCTCGATGTGGGGCCGTGTGCGGCCGGAACCTCGAACCGGCCTGCTCTCCTGGCTCCTCGTGTCCCTGTTCCATATAAGAAGCACTTTTTTTTCCTCCTTTACTTATGAATGGGTTGAAAATGGCTCCCTCTGCTCTCTCTTCTCTTTTTGGAAACTCTAAAAGTAGCCGCATGGTTTTGAAAAACGATGCAGGCATCATTGACCTCTGATTTTGGAACCTGGAGTCACTGTCGCTCCCGACTTAACACTGATCTAAAGTCTGAACGCAGAATGTTCTGTTCAAATCCAAGGTCCCTTGTTTGAAAGGAACACGGGCTCCACAGCAGTGTCATGACGGTCCCACACCCGGTGCCCCCTGGCAGGACCCCTGTCCTGGGAGCCGCTAGGACGCTGAATACCCTTTCCCCGTGGTTAACCACTTTGCTCTTAGAAAGGTCCCCTGTTCACACCCTCTGTGGGTCAGTCGTCACCCTCTGCTTCCTTTGTGTCTTTTTCTGGGTTCCCTGTGCTCTCATCCTCGAGAGGCTGGCATTGGCTCCGAACAGCTCCCTTGGTTTGCTCTTAAATTCTGGAGGCGCAGGTGGGCGCTTTTGCAATGGCCGGTGTCTGGGTGTGTGGAGGTGGCTGTGGTCTCCTACTGGACGCTCATCAGACATTGACTTCGGCCCAGAGAGGTCCCAAGTACATCATCACATGGAAGTAATTGCCTTTAACCCTGTTGTGTAGAGTTTTGATGCTTTTCATGCTACAGGGCGTGCTTTAATTCTGAAAGAGCTAAGTGTCCTTCGCGGTCTTTCTAAGAATGTTTTGTAATTCTGCGATCACACTGGCCACCCCAAGGAGCATGGACGTGTAGGGTGGGTGCCCACATGTCGGCTGACCTGCCTCCGAGGCTGCTTGGGGCCTCTGGGTTGGCCTCGTTTTCAGCCAGAATCCCACACAGGGTGTTTCAGGGGACACTGCACAGCGGCCCCTGCTCGATGCGGTGATGTGAACTGAACTCAGATGCACCCATCAGCTTTTCGTGAGCATGTCTTCATAACCCTGAAGTGGGCCTCGCCCACCATGTTTGCGTTCATGAAAGTTGATGAGAAAAAGAGAGAACTGAAGTTGTGGGTGCTTTGGCTAACACTTCTCTGTCGTATTGGCTGACGGACACATTTTAGATGTGTGAGAGCTTTACGTGCCCTTGTGGTGTGACTGAAGGGTGGAGCCCTTACCTCCCCCCACCGCCTTCCCGGTGGGTTGGAGGAGGCCGAATTATCTCCTATTTTCAATCCCCCTCGACTTAAGCAGTGCAGAGTTCAAGCTGGAACACCACGTATTAACTCTTCCCCTCAAGTGTCTCCAGGAACTAGATGTTGGGGCCAGTCTCTCAGCACTTCTGAATCTTCAGGGTCCTTCAAACCATGAGTTGATCCCAAGAAGAGCCCACACCACCAGGCCAGGTGTGCCATGCAGATGGCACCACTTGATAGAACTAGGTGCTCATGTGGGGGACCCGAGGCCCCTTTGAACTGTGGGGATTGTGGGAACAATCGGGGAGGGAGAGGGCAGGCCCCTCTAATCCCAGAAGCAGGTGGCACCTGTGCCTCCTCTGGTCTCCGTCGGTACCAGATGAAGCGTGTTCTGGAAGACCCCGTGTCAGCCTCTGTGCCTTTCAAGTCTGGTCCTCAGTGTCCTCTCAGAATCCTGGTGGGGCTGCGTTCTTCCTGGGCAGTAAGCCTGTGTCACCCCCAACCCCCGCCACCTTCGGCGCTGCTTCTGCTCCTCAGCTCGTGACTTGGTAAACTGTCACATCCGTGCGTCCTGTCTCGTGGCAGAAAACGTTAGGCTTCAGTCACATGACTCCTCCCCTGCCCTGACCTCCATGCCTTCCACCTGTAGGGATCCTGGGACATGGTGCAAGACCCATCTCTTAGCCAGGCACTGACCATGACTATACGTGCAACAGAGTCACTCAGCAAGAGTGTTTAGCGTAATGGAACTAGATTTTTCATACAGGAGTTTGTGTCTTGGTGAAATACGTATGTAGTCCTCAGATGTAAGGTGCTATTCAGTCTTACTGTCCTTACTCGGAATGCTTTTGTTACTGTCCTCTGTTTTTTGATGGCAGGGGAACCTCTCTGGCTTTGGCGTGGGTGTCACCTCGGGCCGCGCACGCATGGCTCCAATTCTGATGAATCCGAAATGCAGTGTGTAGGTCTGACTTCTCAAGCCAGGTTTTGAGCACTTTTCTTGGCTAAAGGTCTTGTTAAAAACCTGCCTTCCCAGAGGGAAGGGGGTTGTCACCTTGTGAGGGGGTGAAAAGGATAACTGTTGCATTGTTTTGTACACCTGAAATTAATAATAATAATAATAATAATAATAAATAAAGTAAAAACCTGCCTTCCCTGTCAAGGGATGGTTTTATTGGTTTTAAGCGGGGGAAATAATGCAACGTTACTTCTTTTACAAATGTAGAGAAAAGCCTTTTTAGTGGCTTCTCTTGGCTGTCCTGTCACCCCAAACCCTCCACGCTGAGTGGCAATGGCCTTGCCCTCAGCACAGGCGCTGGCTGCGGTGGGAACAATACACTCACAGTTTTGGTTCCTCTTCAAAGCCAAATACACACCCGACTAAAAGCCCGAAGGTACATAGTTTAGCACTAAATTGGAATTTGAGTCCCGAGTTTGATAATGGATTTTAATGTAGTTGTTGAAGGTATGAACTCATGTTTTATAATTGTAGAGGCAAGTGAGTTTTTACTTTTTAAAATGTTTTAAGAGAATAACTGTTAAGTTTCTGTGCAGCAAAGTGGCTCATGGCTCATTAAATACAAGACAAGAATGTAAGGTCTATACCCAGCTTTTTCTTACCTCTGGTACACTGCAGATTACTTACCTACTATGTATTGAGGGGTTTGAACACTGAGTTTTATCAACTTTTCTAGGTTTATTTTATTTTTATAAAATAATGGAAAAAGAACCAAAAATGAATTCAAAAGTTCCACAGGTAGATCTTGCCCCTTCTTAATTCCCGCGCCCCCTCCGTCCCCCACAGTGAATCATTTTAGAAGACATTTTGAATCAAAATGTATTACAACCATTTGAAGTTTACGATTTTCTAAGAAGCTGAGCAGCTCCCAGGGCCTTGTTTCAGATGCTGCCCTCCATGCGGTCTGTGGACTCGCTTCTGCCTGTGCGGGGAGGGGGGGGGTCTGTGTGACACTGTCTCGTGCTTGCAATATAGAAACTGTGCAGTGCTTTCTGTAAATTGACAGTTCCTGTATAAACGAGTATTTATATCCGTTGGCCTCTCTGTGTAACGTTTCATTTGCTCCATGAATTGTAAAATTAATTATAAAAATTATAGTACCTGCTAAATACAACTCTGAGGCCTCACGTCCTTGTCTTTAGTTACCGCCATTCTGTGTGTTTTGAGGATGTCCAGTGCTTGCATGATGCCAGGTGGTGATGCCACTTTAAATTAAGCCTTAATCAGATGTTAAATTTGTAAGTTTCAGAGTATGCAAAAATATTAGGCAGAGTGAGTGTAAACTGTTCAGATCAAGATGCTATACCATAATTCAACAAGTCTTTTCTCCATAGTTACAAAGGGAAACTTTCAGTGATACAGCTAGCTCGCTCACGCTCTCTCTCTCTCTCTCTCTCTCTCTCTCTCTCTCTCTCTCTCTGGTCTAGCTTGGCTGTCACTGTCACTTGATGAAAATGGACCGTTGTGCATTTCTGTGGCAGTCAGTCAAAAAGACCTGTTCTGAAAGTACTGAAAGTATTGAGACTTTTTCAGGGTTATTTTTAAATATTTGGATTTTTTTTCCCTCCGGTCTGAGATTTATTTATGGCTAATGGAGAGTGTGATTTGGGCATAAATCTTATTTGCAAACCCGCTCATGTTCTAAGCTTTCTTCAGGTAGTGCCACCTGCCGTTGCTTCTGCATATGATTCAGTGGATTTTTGTTTTTGTAAAAGCATCTTAAATTTAGACATAAAATGGAGGGGACCCAGCTTTCTTTACAATGTGGATCTACCTCAGTTAAACAGTTGGGTGCTATTTACTAAGTCTGTCAAATTAAATTGGAAAAAGTAACCAAACAGTGAGATACAACTCCAGGTGAAGCTTGAAGTCATAATTTCCGTTTATTTAATAATATTTTTATTTATTTTGTGCCTTTTGTGTTGAATCCTAATGCATTGAAAAAAAATCAGTTTGAAATTAAATATTTTCTATTGCAGGTGGTGAGAAAAGCCCAATTTGTCATGGAATTTGATAGATTCCCCCCAGCCAACCACTAATATATATTGGAATCCCAACTGCCCTCTTACAAAAAGGAAAAAAATATATATCCAAGAGAAAATGTATCATTTTACAAACAAATTCCAAACTCTTCTATGCATATATATATATTTATAGCTATCACTTCATTTTCTGTGCCAATGAAGGGGCGGCCAAAAACATCTCACGTGTACTCTTATCATTGCTTTTTTCCGCCATGTGGGCCCCCTCTTCCTCTGGCCTATAAGTTTATTTCATAAGCAGCAGATGCACTGTCGTCAGTATCACCTCTCCTGACCTGGTGGAGGTGACAATGACCACATGGACAGAGGAAGGGGGAGCTCACAAGGCCATCGGAGAGGGGAAGGCCTGCATTGACGGAGCTCCCAGGTTCCCATGCGTTAGGAAAGCTTTCTGGCAGGTGCGAAAATAAGAGATTGATGCTTTTATATTTGGCAGTTTACAATTCTAGACTTTTCCTACTATGGCGATCTTTTTTAACTTAATTCTTTGGAGGTAACGCAATATTTTGGAGTCTTAAGAATTTGATTTTGTACCAATAAAAAATAAAACTTAGGGATCTTTCCTGTAGTATATAGTTTTACTATTTTAAAGAGATCTCTGAATTTTACAAGAGAACCAACATTCCTTAGTGGCAAAACTTTGAAAGTGGATTTGGGAGGCTTTTTGCTGCAGGATCTCAAAAAAAAAGGGGGGGGGATGATTCTAGTTAAATGTCTTTAATTTTTAAACTCCCATCAGGTCGACCCTTAAGCTATATTTTGTAAAGAGTAAATCACCCTTTAGTATGCTGCATATAAAGATCCGCATCGTTGCACTTTCTCAATAATAATTAATGCCCTACGATTGGCTCACCAGTAAGCATTTGGTTTTTTACCTAACCAGAGTACTTTAGGGCAGGTGATTCAATTTATATAGGTACCTCAAGAAAAAAACCTGAATATGCTGCATTTTATTTCTTTAGCTTTTATATGTAGCATTTTGTTTTGCTCTTATTATTTCATTTAGATATATGCTTTTTGGACCCCAATAGACTGTTGAAAGAAAATTTAAAATTACCCTTGTAGGGATACAGTATCCTTTAAAAAAAAGAAAAAAAGAAAAAAAATACTTCAATTTCTTGTTCAGAGGTTGCCCACCAGTAGAATAATACTTCACCCAAACATACCTGAGAAAAAGGACACCATGTCTATCAGCAGACAGTAATGGTCCCGTCCTTTCCGTTCATGCTGCTTTCTTGATTCTTTTCTCCACGTCATCAAGAGGTGGGTGACGTATTTCTAAGGTCAAACTTCAACACTGTGGCATCTTGATGTTTTCAACACAGACCTCACACAGTTGCCACTGAGTCAGTAGCGTGATCCTAAAGGTGTTGCTGGCATTCGGCAGTCACATCAGTGTGGCCGCCCTGAAGCGCCAGTCTTCACATCTCTCTATTCCCAGCACTCGCCCTGAACTGAACAGATGGGGAGTGGTCTTGATTGACGAAAGATAAACTGGTGAAGAAAGCTAACTGCCGAGACTGAGCATCTATTGTCGTGTTTAAGCTTAGCTGGGTCCTTTCGAGTTTGTTTTACAGCTTACTAGATTAAGTAGTTTGCACTATTTTTGCAATAAATTCATGGAAAACCTAACAGTTATTTGTTTTGTTTCTTACTGTGTGTATATAAACTAATACTAAAAGTTTGGCATAGTGTTTTTTCACCTCCTTACATAACCCCTTTAACATGCACAGAATGCTGTAAATCTGATAAAAATATGATGTGAATGATATTTTATAAAGTTATTTTGTATGGTGTCAATTTTGTTTTGCCTCATAGTATGTCAGCAAAAAGTAAAATAAAATTCCTTGTATTTACAGCTGCCTCTCCCAGAGGTCTTCAATTACTCATATTTATTCCTTCCGCACAGGTTCAGATCCCAGGCTCCCAAGGGGGGAGCCTGCCTTCAGTGAGGGAGGTCCAGGGTATTCTACGAGCATTGGACCTATTCCGTGAACAATGTACTCAACAGAGCTAGGCACTCATGACCCCCGAGAATCAGGTTGGGGATGGAAACCACAGGAATGAAGGACAACAGGACAGATGTGGGCTCTAGGGTGAGTTGGGTGGTGCTCCTTGAGCAGCCGTGAGAAAGCATGCAGGAAAAACAGCATTCAGCTAAGCCCCAGTCAAGTGCGGAGCCCATGTTGTGTGGGAGTCAGCTGAGCACATCCAGGGTCCGCGGCCTGGTGGGTCGGTCACTTAACCCCCTCTGCCCTGGCTGTGCGTACACATACGTGTGCAGCTCTGAAACCCCTGGTGGCCTCACAGGGCTGTTGATTACTTCCGTCTGGACTAAAGAGAGTATGTGGTGTTGGGAAAGGAAAGGAGGGTTGGATTAAGTAAACCAAAAAATGGCTGACATCCCTAGAATGTACCTTGTTGCTAAAGCAGGCCAAAGTTTTGTTCTCTGGACATAAATGTTTATAGGGCTTTATTTATAATCGTCAAAACTGGCAACCACCCAAACGGAGTTCTCCATTCATCTGGGGACTATGTAAACAAATGGTGTGTCCGTGCCATGGAATCCCACTCAGCACAAACTGGTAACTGCAACACGAGGAATCGCAAAGGCATGATGCTAAACATAAAAAAGCCAGCCGCAAAGGCTACAGACCATGTGATTCCTTTATGTGACGCTGGAGACAGGTCAGCAAGCCACGATCTCGGGGCCGAAGCCAGCCTACTGTGTTTTTGTACGGCCTATAGGCCAAGAATGGTTTTTACATTCTAAAATGGTTGAAAACAATCAAAAGAACATTTCAAGACCCATGGGTACTATACAAAATTCAAATTTCAGTGTCCAGAAACGGTTTCATTGAAATACAGCCATGCTCATTCCTTTAGGTCTCGTCTCACTGTTTTGGCGCAACGGCAGGGTTTAGTAGTTGTTGACAGAGTACGTAGCCCACG